AAAAGATGAAGAGTTAGTTGAATCAAGATTAAAATTGAACTACATTGATAGAAACGGACATTAGAACCGGTTATTTCATCTTTCGATAAACTATATAATAATTTATCTAATGGATAAACAAAAGAGTAAAAGGATAAGAGCATAAAGAGTATAGGAGAGTTAGAGAGTGAGCTAAAGTTTATCGAGAGGTGAAACAACCCAGCTTTATACAATCTTCCTGCTCTAAAGGTACGTGAAGTCGCTCATTTCAGAGAGACGTCGTTTTCCCGAATGAAGATTCATTCGCGGGAGTATTAATATAAGAGCGAACTCGTTAGCTGTCGTTTCCTAAAGTTTCAGCGACTTCGCAAACAACGTTCGTGCATCAATCGGGTATGTGCACTCTTGCAGTTTCACGATGCCGCGGCATATTATCCTTGGCAGTTCGGATCGTTTTCGGTTTTCGGATTAGTATACTTCGGCAGACGAACTGAAACGAAATCCAGGAGAAACCTCAATCCGCATTACGTTCCGCATCTGCTCGCGCTATTATACAGAATCCCGTATTTGCTGTTGGCCGATAGCGAAGAATAACGTCAGACAAGCCACTCGGTAGAGTGGTTGCTGGGGGAGAAGGAAGAAGAGGGGGAAGGGAAGAACTTGCAGAATCGGCCGGAAAGAAATTAGAAAGAGCAGATGGCCCTGCGACTTTTGAAAAATTATTTTCCGCGTCGACGAGCGCTTTCTCCTCGAAGAAGCGCCTCGCGACGAATTCTTCGCGTTTCCCGTCATTCTCCGACAGCCGGCAGTCGTAATTGGATGTCTCGACTTTGCCAGCTTACGACGGCTGAATCCTATCCCTGCTTGGCTGACGGTTAACCGATAATCACACGGACGATTCCACGAATTCATTAAGATCATTAGCCGGCGCGTCTTGGGAGTTTAATTGTCGTTGGCGAATCGTGTCTTGCCGAATTACATTGATACGCGATTTATTTGTTCCATCTGAAAGGAGAGAATTATCTTGTTTAATATTTCCTTTACGTTCTTTTTATCTGAACATTTTGTGCGGATAATAACTATATCGAATCCTCCAGCTCCCGATAATCGAAGTTTTCTTGTACTATTGAGTGATTTCACCAACTTCAATTTAGCTAGAAAGGATCACGAGGAGGTAACCACTAGTTGAAATATTGTCCCACAAATTACACGATTTCATTTGATTTCAGATGATTTTATTCGACGACAAATAATTTTCTTCATTGTATATGAAGTCATTTGATAAAATAAACAATTTTATTTAATATTATGCACAATTATTTCTCATAGTTGCATGTGTAATTGTCGGATTATACATCGGGATTTCATATGAATTTTACATACAATGATTTCAGGGACTCTGTCTCACCATTACATTAAGTGATCATACAAGTCCACTTGTAATACGTTTAAAAAAGGTAGATATCCAAAAATGTAGATTTTAAAATATAATAGTAATTCATTATTAACAATCGTTTCCTTTATAGAAACATTACCTTCGTGTTTTCGTTCAGATCTTAGAAATCAGCATTCTGCTTTTCACTTAACAAACTTCAATCTCTACGCTTTTAATCCACCAATGGAAGCAAACATAGTAAAGAGGGCGAAGTTGAAGAAAGTATCCAGCGAGCCAAACAGTTTTGTTGAACCAATTTAATCTCTTTCCTTTTTGAAATCTTTATCATTCAGTCTGAATACCGAACGAGTGCAATAACCTGTTTCCATTCATTTTTTATTTTATTTTTTTCTACTGTTCAATCATCAGTCTATTGCAATATTTTTACCATAATATTACTTCATTTTGTTGTAATTTTCTTTCTCCCAAAGCATTGAACAGATATAATTAATTCTTTTGTCCGATTTATAACTATTTTAATTAATCTTTTTATTATTATAATTACCTTATTCTTTTATTATTTTAATAATTACTTATTGTATTAATTTTCAATATCAGAATTGAAGAAATCCATACATAAAAAGAAGCACGCTTGATTTAGAATACTGGATCCTTTTTTTATGTAGACGTCATATTGTCCTTATTTTATAGCTTTCCTTTTCTCGTTTCCTTCATGTTTACAGCTTCTCTCGAGGTTCGCAATGCAAATCTCGTCGAGGAATAAATTCCGATTGATTCTTCCGTGATAGAGAAATGTTCCTATTTCCTTGCGAGTTTGTCTTCATTTGACGATTCATTCAAAGCGCATATTTATCTTAAGAGCCGCCGGTCTAATGGCACGTTCCTAATGCCGATGCAACTTTAGGCGTGAGCTACCCAACCGAATCGTTAATCCAATTTACTCCTCTGTGAGGAGTTGCCTGAAACTTTCGACCACACCCGTCCGACAAGCGCGGCGTGATCGGTTATTCGGACTAGCTTATGATAATCACCTTCGAAAGAACTTTGAACTTCGCACCAAAGTTTACATACTGGATATATGTGTTTCCCTAGCTCCTCGTTATTGAAACAGAGAGACTCTAATAAACATACGAAATGAAAATTCTACTTTTCCATTAATATATTGTAATATCAAAAACTTTCATTACTTCTTTAATTCTTTTATATTGATAACTTTTCTTCCGATATTCATGTTTAAAGAAGAGGTCATTAAGTCGTTTTTTTAAACTCGTAAAAAAAACGTAACGTTTCAATAGACAGATAATTCGGATTTATTATCAGTTAGTTACATATTTCTTTCAAAATTTTATAATATTTTTTTTATTTTATTATACAATAAATCGATAAAATTCGAAGCATTCAAGAGAGAGAAAGAGAAGAGGAAGAAAACGAGAAAGGAATACTAATGCGAGACGTGCAAAAGCGCAACACATTTTCGTCACAATTTGAGACAAATTGGAAAATTCCAACGAAAACCGAGTTTTAATTTTGTCCATTCACGAAAAGTTATTCGAGATACAATAAAGCTGTGAATCGCACGTTAAAATTATTACACGCTTTTCGCAGAGATTGTTCGTCATCTTTCCTTTTTACAATTTTGAAGAGTCCTTCGTAATTCTATTTCTTCGTTTCTAAAGAGACACTTGGCAAAAGATCGTCTGGGCAAAACGCTGCTCAAGAGTGATTGAAAAATTAAGAATCCCAGTTTTATCACGAAAGATTTCTTAATTCGGCTAACTGGGTAACATGGAAAATCAATCGCGATGAGAGCCGTAACTTGTCGTATAATTGGAACGAACGGTCGAGATACTTTGAAAATTATCGAGAAAATCGGAATGCTGAAAGATTCGATTAAGATATAAAGAAGTAAAGCCCACCCACTCACCCGTTCGATTTCAATTGATTTGTCTAAAAGAAGTTATAATCTGAAACCGTGTTACCCTAATTTCGCCAGATGTTATTAATCACAATTCTCGTTTTGTGCAATTGTTCCTTATGCAAATATGTTTTTGCATCAGATTCTCACTAGAACTAGTTTACACGGTTCATTGCGCGGATGTCAAATGTACAATACAAACGCATTAATTTGCATCACTGATAATTAATGCATCTGGTTTCAATATTAATGCACGTATTCTAACCGAGAATAGCCATCGTCTACTTGTTAATTAAATCGCAATGTTGCACTGTTGAATTATGCTCACAATTAGATGCTATTTAACACTGTATTAAAAATTTGAAATGAGAATTATATTAGAACGTAATGAGAACTGTTCTTTATGAAAAGGAATGTTTTCTCATTATCGCACAGAAATAAGTTTTGCTTAAATATAAAGACTATTTAGTACATAAACTATTTTGATTTAACTATAATTTTTTATTGAACAAATATTTACTTAAGTAAGTGTTGATTGGTATTATTCAAATAAATATTTATTAAAATTTAATACATTTTTTCTCGGTGTAAAAATTGAACTAGATACAAATCTGAAAATAATTTTATTGAACTATTGAAATAATTGTGAAGGACGCTCTAGCATGATGAGCAGTACCAAAAAAAGTTTTGATATTCTAGTAACTAGTTTGAGCGTTCTAATAATTGTTTTGATAGTTTAACAAAATTATTTGTACATCTGTATCTAGCTAAATTTTTAAATACTTTGGCAAAACTTTCTTTCCATGTGATAATAAAATATTTCAAAATTAAAAATTAAGACAGCGAATATGTATACCTATATATATAAAATATTTAAGTTTAAAATTTGACAATTACATTCGTTAAAATGTTGTTGAATTGATTCTGGACTCAAAGTTACGAAATATTACTTAGGACACTATTAATAAAAATGTGACGACATTGCATAATGACTCAAAGAAAACATGGGTGATAATGTGGCCTTCCATAAAAATAGCCTTTAAAAATTAATTTTGTTTAGAAAACAATATTTGGTCACAAAATTAATAAAAAAGTAAAACATTTTAGAATGTATGCAAATAAATGTATATACATTCACATAACTTTTGCATATAAGATGCTCAGTACTAAAAATCTCAGTACTAAAAATAGTACATGTAATATAAACTATATGTTAACAGTAGAGCTACAATCGATCATCAAATAATTATTTTGATATGAAAACTTCAAAAAAGAAGCCGTGAGTAATCAATATTTATAGAGGCCCACATTAGCAAAATACCATGCTATTGTTTAAATTTGCTAACTCAAAATATATACAGTCAAATAAAATGTTAAATAGCAAACAACACATTTAAAAATACATATATTGAAAATACGCTCAAGTTTAAGAAAAATGAGGAAGTAGGTATAATTAAATGCTAAAATGTATCTCAGAATTCAAAATACTTGAAAGTAAAAATGCGTTGTAATAAGTGCTGGCTTAAGTATTGGTATATTAGCGTCATGTAACGGCGAGCTACTGAACAAATAATTCCATAAGTAATTAGGATTCGCTATATAATAGCAGAGATCTTAAGGGAGGCAATATATATATATATATATATACACTGACCATAATACCACTTTTTCCTCTATAAATACGAGAATCAAAATAATATGAAAATTTACCGTTCTGCGGGTACATATTTCGCCAAAAGCCTTTTTTCGTGTTAATATTTGGTATCCGGAAGGTAAATTCCAGGTCTCCAGATTCTTCACTCCACCACAGTTTTAATGCAGAATATTCAAACGGTCTCAACTTCACAATCGGACAAAGATCATTGCTGACAATGACATTGGTCTTCACTGGCTTTGTGGGGTCGAGGTTGTGTTGCAGTACTTCTACGACGTACCATTTGCCCATTATCTGTAACGAAATGTTTTCGTAAAATCGACCTGAAAAATCGCATGATTGAATGGAACATATATCTACTAAGCGCTAAGCTAAGTGGATATAAATCGATATCTTTCCGTAAACATGATTTGCACTTGAACCTCAATTCCCAGGATATTTGAGATATTAAAAAGTTGAAGAGAAAAAAAAGATAAGATTCTAGCTCGGGAAAAAATTGGTTCTAGATCGGTTAAAGAGCTTGCGAAGACGGAAGAAAGTGCAGAGACACCGAGTATGTGCGCGGGGGAGTAATCTAGTAACTTTGGCGAAAGTAGATATAGATAATACCGTGAGGAACTTAAAGCAAATTACGGACAATTTATTGACCGGGCGATCGTTAATGATTAAGTCCGTGGAAATAATATCGTCGAGAGTCGAATAACCGCCGAATTCCGATCGGCATAATACGCGCGGGATTTCTTTTTTTTTTTTTTTTCAGCCCGATCATTTCGATTTTATATCTCCGTGAAATCTTTTATACCTTTAATCGGATTGTGCCGGATAATGCTGAATCTCACTCAAAAGTATCTAGTCTATATATTTTCGTCGGATTTATTTTTATTATCCGGAGTGTTGATCGATCTCGCAATTTCGCGACTTCTTGCTTCGCAAGCTTTATGATAAACAACAGCAGCGAATCTTAAATAGAACATTATATAATAGTTGCGAACATTGCCTGCCAAGGGAATAAGATGTTCGTCAATCTTACTCGTGACTCTCCTTAGTGACGTTGACCGATGCTTTAGAGAAGTAGAGAGGCCAAAAGTTAAGCGTATAAAGAATTAGTCTCAACAAAATGCTGAGAAAATCAAACGCCTATTCATCTCCGTTGCAGTAATAATAACGTCGAATAGCGCAGACTACAAAATCGGTCCCAGAGTTTATCTCATGAAAGCTAATCTTGACAATTCTTCCCGTGTAACGCGGTGATTTTGTGAAGAAACTTGATCTTCAGAAAGCGCAAAGGTCAATTCTCATTGGAATGCAATAAATGCAGCTTTTACTTGTTACGTTATCTAGAGGGAAAACTCGCTTTAACTGTCGGTTTAATTTATGCGCAAAGTCGCATGTTATGTACAAACATAAGTAATTGTTTATTCAATTCGCTCGTATATTAAACATGATGCTAATGTACCCACTGAAAGCGCTTAGGTCCGAAGTTGATGTACAGCGGTGATGCAGATTATCAACTTGTTGAGCTCAGATGGTACGATACTCGGTTTTGCCCGCGGGAACCAGCTAAGGAGAGTTCGTTGAACAATGACTATAATAATCTTTGCGGAGGTCCGAGGTCCATAAAGGCTTCTCTGCTTTGTCTTTGCGATACCAGTGAATTTCAGTCTAGCGCAAACGTGTTTTGTTGTTTCTCAAGATTAATCAAGAATATTCATAGTAAATGCTATGCGCGAAATGCTATGCGCTATTTTTATTAGCTTTGTGCTTATTAGTTTTTTTGTCATTTTTCTTCTTAAATCCTTGTGGAGGGAGAAACAGAATTTGTCGAAATTTCTTTATGCTCAATTAGTTATTCGAAAAATGCAGACATTCGACATTTCTTATCATATTTTCACAGATCGAAAAATCTTCAGTGAAAATGACATCCGGTAATTTTGAAGCACTCTGTACGGACGAATGAAATGGCCAAAATAAAAGTAGACGAGGTTTTCGTTTTTGCTGAGTAGATACGCGCATATTGCGCGCATGTACGTGTGTACGTGCGTACACATCTCTGCTTTATTGTACCGGAAAAGCGCCGTAAATCATTGTCGTCGAGGTGTATGTGATACTGGGTCACACAGCGTGGTTGGGGGATTAAAATTAACGAGATAATAAATATGGCCTTTGTCGAATAGCCCGCAAAAAATTTCAATTGTCGTTTCGTCGGGAATCTCGTCGCATGAACAATCGCGGTCGTTTGTTTGAAACTGTGTTATTTTTCCTTTCTTTTTTTAACAAATGTCGCGACTATGTGCAAACGATGTTATTATTAAATGGAAACCAGAAACTATGATGACATAAAATTTACGTTTAAACTTTGTTCTCTTCTTCTGAATTAGGAAAATTAGTAAATTAAATTATAGAAAAAAATGAATAATAATTAAAAAATTAAAAATTCTCATGAATTCTCATAATTTCTGTAGTGTTATACATTAGGAATAAAAATATAGCGTCTTTAGCAAAACTGACATTTTTTAACAGCAACCAATTATTTTGTTTGTACAATAAAAAATTTAGTTGCTTCTACTCAATACACTTCAGCTTTTTAAATAACAAAAATATTTGTTTATGCCAATTAAATAGTTTAATTTATAAATAATCAAAGTAATAAAACAGGTTAGTTTGCGGTTAAATATTTTGTATTTTAATCAAATATTTTGTTAGTAAAATATTTTTCCTAGTATAACAGTAGATTACGTTATTTTGTTCTATGAAATTTAAAATAAACCGAATCAAAATATTCATTTGTACTGACTAAACTGTTTAATTGAAATAAAAAAATTTTTTTATTATTTAAAAAGTTAAAAAGTGCATTGACCAGAAATAACCAAAATTTTTATTATACAACTTAAATATTTGGTTGTTATTGCTTGGTTGTTAAAAAATGCCTCAACTAAACAGTTTTGTTAAAGGTATTAAATCTTTTTTCTAATGTGTGTGACTTTATCAAATTTTTTAAATATGCTCAGCATAATATTTTAGTATAGTATGTAAGAGACAACGATAAGAAAAGATAATAGAGATAATTTTAATTTTGTACAAGGATCTTTATGAAGTTTTCTTCACTTTTAAAAATGCTGACTACGTTATTAAAGTTTGTATAAACTTGTTTTGTTGGTCTTTATGTCGCTTCTTATTCGTCTTAAGAAACCCCGATATGCACCCGATAATAAACTTCGCCGAGTTGCTTTATTATTCAGTCTTGTAAATAAGACATATAATGCCGAGATAGCCGTATGTTGAAATTACGGAAAGTTTAATCAGTATCTATCAACTTGAAAAAGATGAGACCATAGAGCGCTCACAATAGATAGCCCGCATCGTCATCGCGTTGGTCTTGTAATTTATATCGCTGACAATGGTTGAATAAACACAAGCCTTCATTCAAGTTACGAAAGTAGTTGGAAAAGTTTAATTGGTATTTGGCAGCCAATGCGGCTATTATCACGTGTAACGCGATTACATTACACGTTCTCTTGGACACTTCCGATTATAGCCACTAAACTACGATGGAAGATACTTATAAATTTTGATCCAGTTTGGATGTTCGCGTAATATAACAAGATTTAAAAGAATCGTGTGTAAAATATTATTAATTAAAAATATAAGAACGCGTAAAATGTAATAAATATACGAATAAAAAAATTTAAGAAATTATCGATTTTAATTAAATAATATATGTATAATATCTCAGAAAAAATTTATCATCTCTTCCAATTAATTGAATAATTAATTTGATAATTTATATTAATTTGTTTTTTTAATGAGCCTTTTCTGGTATATACATACCTCGTCTTTCATTGCTTGCTAGATTCATTTTGTTAATTACTAAATTTTCAACATAATTTCTATTAATTTATGAAAATTTTGCAGGTTTTGTAGTCATAAAATATATTCGGTAATAAAAAATTATATTATTTGTTGGATAAACTGATATATTCACCGTGGCATTTCGGACGACGCGAATGTAATAAATGTATTTTTTGCGAATTGAAAGCACATCACCAACGTGAAATGGTATAACAATCGCGCAGGGCTTTAAAAGCCCAGTGTTCCGAATAATCTTATATCCCTTTAGTAGATTTAACGTTCATTTATTTTAACCAGCAGTTTTTCACGTGGGAAGATTCGCCGCATAAAATCGGATAAAAACCACTGCCAGGCCACAACGATTTTAAGCTCGACGCATTGCCAAACTAAATCCGCGCTACTTGCGCAAAAGTCTATTTAAAGACACCTACAAAAAGGATTTTATCCTCCTCTTTTTTTCACATAAAAATATAGTACAATCTATGTTATAACTAATTCACAATGGTAATCAATACATTTAATTTTTTTATTTTAAGAGCTAACTCATTTTACGTTTGCATTTGAAGCCTCGTTCTTCGTATTTAACATCCATAATTAAGACTATTATAACTAATTCACACAATGGCAATCAATACATTTAATATTTTTTTATTTTAAGAGCTAACTCATTTTACGTTTGCATTTGAAGTTTCATTCTTCCTATTTAGTGCCCATAATTAAGACTAACGATTAATACGAGGCACGTTGAGCACTCCAGTGTAATAACTCTTGGTGTCCAAGGAATTACCGACGAACTCAGCTGACCCTGCACAAATTCGCAAATTATAATTACAAACCGAATAATATACATGCGTTTTGTCTGGGCACGGTGACACGACGCTGGGTAAAATTGCCGGCAAATAAACCGGCGCATCGCGCGAGGATAAATTTTCGTTTATTAGACACTACCGGACACCCGGCACGGACGCGCTTCGTGACTTATGCATTCGCTATCGTAACGAGAACGTCAGCGTTTTCACGAGAATATTGCAGTAATTAGTAGCAAGGTAAATTACCGTACGCGTACGCTAATAGCGGGTAATTTCCGAAATAGTAAAAAAAGGAGGGGGATGGAAAGCGACGTGACGCGTGTTTTTTCCGAGTTCCACCTCGTTTCAGTTGCCTCATCGATCACGCAGTGAAAGAAAGAGAGAGCAGCCATCCAAAAAATATATATTCGACTGCCTAAACTCGGTTCGCTGCTCGTATATTTCCTCACGTTTCGAAAACTCTCTTTCTCTCCTTCGCAACAACAGCAGCGTGTGCCTTATGGGGTTTATGCGGGGAATATCCCGAGAATATACGAAGCAGGGATGTACGTTCGGAGTATACGCTCGTACTCTTCCAAACCGTCTCCGAAATACTTGCCCTTTCGCCTCTCGTAATACATATTTGCGAATTGAGGA